TAAGGCACCTGCACGCAGGCGTAGGGGCCGCCAGGGGTTCGATCCCTGGGCCTGCTGTCCCGGCCCCGCCCCTGAGGGCGCTGAGACAGCAATTGAGACTGGGCGTGGTGGAGCGTGTCTGTACTCCCAGCTCTTGAAAGGCTGTAAACAGGAGAATCATTACTATGAGTCTGATCTAGACCCTGTAGACCCTTCCCTAAAATAAAAAAATAAAATAAAAGGTAATAGAAAATGAGAAATGCAGAGAAAACATAAAATAAGACAGAGGGGGCTGTCACAGGATCACATAAGAGGAGGGTGACATGAATGGAAATGAGAGAATGATTGAACAGAATCTGTGCAAAAATTTAAAAAGTTAAAATGCCCACACAAAGTGGAACAGACCAAGAAGGCACACCTAGCTCTGAGAAGATTTTCTGAAGCACAAAGAAAAAGATGTGCCTCCTAGAACAGAAAACAGAGGGAGACCCTGCCCTTAAATTGTGCGCTGCGATTCTCTCTAGACCGGTCTTCAGTCTCTTGAAGCTGTTTCCAATTTTGCAATCCCAGGGATATTTAGCCAAGCGGGGAGGGGAGTGCATGGTTTCTCTCTGCTAGGAAGAGGGTGACCAAGATTCCCAGACTGGGGTATCCTAGAAACGCTTGATTGTGTGCTTGCATGAGCAGTATTTTCCATGTTTCTGCTCAACATACTGGCAGTCGCAAGTCGTTAGCATGGCTGTCGTCCAGGGAGCCTGAAGCAGAGCTCTGCTCCAGGCGAGTGTCCAGAAGAGTGATTTGGATGCCCCGAATTTTAAGGAGGACCTGAAGGCTACTCGGACTGCCCATTCAGCCCTTGCAAGGCCAAGAGACAAGCAAGCTGAAAGTCCTGGGCTACCCTGGATCCAGGATGTGCAGATGCTTCAGAATGAGTAAGAGATCAGCACTGCCCAGGACAGCGGGTAATCCTTCCTTATGTCTGGATCAGAACAAGACAATTTTCTATTTGTGTTTTAGATCCCGTGCCACTTCCAATTGAATATGAATATGAGCTGAGTAGAACTCTCCCTGCGAGGGCTGCCCTTCGGAAAAGCCTAAAGCTGTGTTCTTTTTTTCGGCTTGGGGAAGGTTCTTCCTTTGGCAAAAAAAGCAGGTACCTGCCTAAAGTGATAGAGGCTATCAGCTGTCCCACCAACCTCAAGTCAAATGGTTTCTGATTGGCTGATAGTCCCATTTTTCTTACAAATAGTAAAAGGAAACCTACCATTTTAAGTTTCTCTATTGATAAAAGCTGCATACAAACAAAATCTCATTTAACAATTTTAATAAAACTGCTACGCAGCTCATTTCATAAGAAAGAACAGCCTCAGATAGGCAATCTGCCTTGTCCAAGGAGAAGTAGTTAGGACACCAAAGAGGGGCCAGGTCAGATCTCCAGGAGCCCGTGTAAAGCCTATGTCATCTGAATATTGCCCGAGATATCTCTTAAGATAGCAAACATAGTTTATACAGAAGATTGGCAGCAAGTCTTCCTCAAACAATGTAGTACTCTTTCTGAGAGGCTGAGACCAGAGGATCACAAGTTCCAGGCTGGTCTGGGCAACTTAGCACCGTATTTAGATCCTGTCTCATGAATGAATGAATAACTAAATAAAAGGATGGACAAAAGGCTGGTGATGTAACTCCATGTGAAGATGCTAGGTCAAATTCCAGTACCAAAACAAAAATAATCCTCATTGTTATGAATTGGTTCACAGTAGGCAGGTATGACCTCAAAAGTAGCACCCCAAGCTTGGGCTCATTTACCCACTAAGGTGAGTCAAACAGTTCCAAGCAAACTAGAGAGGCCCTGGAAGCACAAATCCCTTCCCTTCCAGTCTCCCTTGTACAGGTGGTGGAGTTCTAGGGGAAAGCCTAGGAAGCAGAGACCATGGACTCAAGGAAAGAGGCAGCAACTACCCAATAAAAAGCACTGTGGAAGGGAGATGAGTCTCCTCATGCAAACAAGCCTGCTCTCCCAACCTCTCCGAAGGAAGGGCAGGCTGTTTCCATGCCACAGTCCAGGAAGGGCTGGTAGTGCTCATATGGTGTGAATGTTCATCCTTTCTCATCATCCTAAATCCACCTGAAGACTCGCTGAGATGGGACACTTTAGTTATCCTCCTATCTCAGCCTCCTTGGTGCTGGGATTATAAGTGCGTGCCACCATGCCAGGTCTTGTTGGCTGGCTCAGGGAGCCTGGGGGCAGGGTCAGTGAGGCATATTGTGCACGGAATAGAACCCAGGTCCTGAGCTTGCCTAAGCAAGTGCTTGGACCACTGAGCTATCTCCACGATCCTAGTTCTCATCTTTAAAGAAATGTTTTAGGCTGAGGAGATAGCTCGGTAGTGTAAGCACCTGCTGGGTAACTGCAATGAACCAAGCTCCATCTGGTACCACACCCAAGCCTTGGGTGTGGTGGTGCATGCCTGTAATCCCCATGCTGTGGAGGCTGAAGCAGGAGAATCACTGTGAGTCTGAACTGCATAGTCAGACCCTGGACCAAATAAACGGTTTCGAAAAAGTTTTTTAAAAAATGTTTTTATCATCATTTTAAGGTTTTATGAAGATGAGGCAATTTATCAAAACTCTTAATATGATGTCTCAAACTAAAGAGCTTGTTTTATTAACAATATTTTGGCATAGAATCTTTTCCCATTTTTGTTCCACAATATGATACACAGGCTTTTGCAAATAATACAGACCAAATCTAATTGAGAATTGAAACCTGGTCCTTGCACCAAACCAAGTCTCAGAGTCCTTTCATGGGAAAGATTAATGTTTTAAAAATCATTCTCCTGAGTCTGTAGTTCAGGAGTATGATTCCTGCCTGGCAAGCACAAGGTCCTGAGTTCAATTTCTGGTAGCTAAATAAATAAATAAGAAATTCTGTGAGGTGATGAAGAGGTGACAGCCACTGTAAGTCTACATGAGTTCTATATCAATGCTCCACCTTGCTGTACTTATCCTAGTTAGAGGCACAGTTTTCTGGAGCAGCAGCCGCAGGCCTGAATACAAATTAATTCTCGGGGTTCCTCCTTACTACATATCTCCTCCTCTTTTAAAGACTGAGATATATTTATCCTTAGAACGTGTCTTGCTTCCGGAGCATGTGTTCCAGCAGCCCTGTCAGAGGAGGGGCTCCATGGAAACCAGGTCCACATTCAGCTCTTTGCATCCTTAAGAGGTGCTAAACGTGTGAGAGAGAGACTTGCTGTTTCCTGCTGACTACCAAGTGCAGCCCATCCTGCAGCCTAGGTCCTGGAAGGCATAGCCCCTGAGACTTTCAGTAAAGGTTCTAATCTTCCATTCTTCTGTCTTTAAAAGGCAAAAGACTTATATTATCTGAAGATAAGCCAGAATATGAGTCTTCTATTTTTAATATTCTGAGAAAAAAATTCACTTAGATGTAAGATAAACGGAAGATGCTGTGATTTTTTTTATAGGTGTTAATTATCAGTGGATAGATAATAAAGAGAAGTGTACATTGAATTTAATGTTAAACTGGTTACATGCACAGCTGGGAACTGCATAATAACCCCATCAGACGTAATAAAGTTGTTTGTATACCTCTAGCTAATTCTGGGATGTTGTATTTAGTATTAAATATTAAGAATGAAGAGGCTTCTAGCTATCTCAATTATGATATTTCTGGAGATGTAGCACTGTACTTCTACACAGCACTAATTTTTGGTACTTAGACTTGAACTCAGGGCCTCATGCTTGGGAGACAGGCACTGTGCTGCTGAGCTGTAGCCATGGTCCCACACAGCGCTTTATGCGCAAACAGGTTTTATTTATGTCATATCACTGAGTCTCCTTTCCAAGCCTGTGGTTGTCATCCTCATTTTTACAGATGAAGAAGGCCAGATGAAGACATAGGTGTGTGGCAAATTAAATCGCTGCTTAGGACTATGCAGCCAGTGTATTTATTATCCTTTGCAGAGTGACAAACTTCCCTGAAACCTAACAGCTTAAAACAACAAATATTTGTTACCTCACAACTTCTGTAAGTCAAGAATCAGGACAGTGCTCAGTAAGATGCCTCTGGTTCAGGTCCCTTGTGAGCTTACAGCCAGGCTACTGGGCAGGCCTGTCTCCAGCACTCGCAGCGCTTACAGAATCTGTGCCACAGAGGCAGTCAGACTAGGGGTCCAGCTCCTTGCTGGCTGTGGGAGAGAGACCTCCTCCAGTTCTCTAGTGGGTAGCTCACGACATGGTGGCTGGCTTCCATCAAAATGGCTGTCTTAGACACTTTCCCATCACTGGACACTGAGCACCCACTACCTAAAGGAGGATAGGCTTACTTTGGCTCATAACTCAGAGTAGGCTGGTTCCAAGGCAGGAAGGGTATGTATAGAAGAAAGCTGCTTACATCACGGCAGTTGAGAAACAGAGAGCGAAGGGAAGAACCAGGGGTGAGATAGACCTTTCCTAGTTTCACTTAGATGATCCACCTCTTCCAGCCAAACCCATGTCCAGCATCACATTCAGCAATGGTGTTCCATGATTGAATCATCTTCTGAAAGACTCACCTCTGAACACATGAGACTTTTGAGGGAACGTTCTAGATCTAAACCACAACTGTGAGTGACATACATACATGCACACAGAGATCTCAATACTGAACCACTCTCATTTTACAACTAAATCTTGTGGCTGACACATCCTCACTTCTGCTGTGCTCAGTTCATTAGAAACAGGTCATTAATGAGCTCTCATTGATGTCCTTCATGAGCACAGAACACAGGTCATGGTTTGTACCCCACCCCCCTGATTAGCAAGAGATGAGGAAAGGACTAAGGACTCCAACTGAGGTTAGTGTTCTTTCTCATGCACTGTGCTTCTGAAGTCAAGACCTAGGCATTTTTTCATTTATCTAAATTCATGGCTGAAACTATTGTTGGCAAAAAGGATGAAGAATGAACGTAAGTGATGAGAGAACTCACAGTGATTGAGTGAAGGACGGGTGAAGCCATGACCTGGCATCAAAGCTGTGCCACAGGAGAGCAGCTGGCACAGTGGGGAGCTGCGAGGAGGCGCACAGCTGGGGCCCAAGAAGCCTCGGGGAGGGAAGAGCTGACATCTGCACTGGTGAGGGGATGGACTTGGGGACCTGGTGGGGCTGAGTGAAAAGGAAAGGTTAGAAAGGCCCTTCCAGAGTCCACAGGAGGCAGGAGCATGACAGTGTCTCCCATTCAGTAATGTGCAAGTGCAGCTGTTGGGTGCTGGGTAGCTCATCTCTATGTAAGTTAAGTGGTGCATGGGGATTCTCAACCCTGGTCATGAGAAAGGCACCTAGACAGATTTCTAAAATGCCTATATCCTAAGTTAAATTAATGAAAGAAAACAATCTCTGGTGTGGGTCCTGGGGTGTTGTAATATTTTAAACCATTCTAAGTGACTCCAAGCTGTTGTCAGGGTGAAAACTATCAAGCTTGAACTTGAAAAGGCCTTGTAGCTGATAACATTTATATTTTCTTCTTGAAAACATCAAAGGCCACAACTCATGATTAGTAGTTAGAAATGACATTTTACCCAATACAGTCTGGAACATGGAGTAGAAGGGGAAAAAGTAGAAAACTAGAGAAAGTGTTGTTTCTCTCGTTTGTTTGAAAACTGAGAAAGTTCCAAAACAATGAAAAGAAGAAGGTGATTAGTAGAGTCAGATATTGAAAAATGAATCATGCATAGTTACGATTAGTGGCTTTTTTCAATTGACAGATACCAGACACTTTATTAAAGCAGTAAGTGTGAGAACATCTCTAATTTAAATAAAGCATCCATTATTGCACGTATTAATCCATCTACAGAGAGAGGAGTCCAGAGATAGTACACAGGGCTGAGTAGGATTCACACCTGAGCTAGAGGAGGATCAACACCCAGGAAGATGCCAGTGCAGCCACCTACAAAACTTCATCTGCTTTCCAGTAGGGCATTATGTACAGACAACTGATAGCAACTGCTCTCTATTGTAAAGGATTTTCTTCAAGTTCTCCCCATAGCAAATGAACAAGGTAGAGATTATTATCTTTTTTAAAAGAAAGAGGAGGAGGCCATAGGGGAGGTGAACCAGAGGGAAGGATCTGTCCTAGAAATCATATCTCAGAAGTGGAAGGCCGTGATTCAAGCTGATTCCCAAGACTGGGTTTTGAGCTCGTGGTGAATATGATTTCTATCACTCCCCAGAAGCCAGCCCGAGTCTTTTCTCAGTGTGTGTCTTAGGCTTTCATTTCCTCACTCACCAAAATACCTTTAGTGAAGGTATTTTCTCTAAATAAACTATAGCCTTCGTTGTCTGCAACTTGGTGAGTTTATGACTAATTACTTCTCCAACTTGTCAAGATTATTCAGAAGTTTAATTCCATTCTGCAAAGTGTTAGTCATGCCTTATAACTCAGGATTAACTCAAGTGAGAAATACATTCTCAGCAACAATCTTTCTTTTTTTTTATTTTTTTTTAACAATCTTTCAAACTGTGACTGAAGTTACCTGTGTACTGAGTGACCACAGCACCACCTCGAGCGTGATCATGGTGCGTCTGCCTTACCCTACCATGGCCCCTGGAGATAGTGTTTTCCAAGCCTGTTAGCAAATTCCCTGCGGCACAGAGCCATGTGTCTTGCTGATGATAAGATAGGCTACATTGATTACTAATTTTGTCTACAGAGCAGTCCATCTATCTACCTCGGAATATTAAATCAGCATAGATAGAATGGTTTGGGAGCTGGTTTGTTATTATAAGCAGCTGTGGTTGCTTATGAGTTAGGAAATTTATCATCTCATTTTCTGCAGGATCTTTCCAGAAAACCAGGTTGCAGTGATTGATCTGTCATGCCCATGAAATCTTTCTTTACTTTCCTTTGTGTTTTTACATCTTTTTCTTCTTATTATATTTGCTGCTTACTTTTGATCCATCCCTCTGTATTTCTCTTGTGCAAGAGATTTAGCTACTGTAGCCCTGGAGCCACACTCGGGGATAAAATGGCACAGAGTTAGAGAATACTGGATCTCTGATAGCCACCTAACCTCAAGCTTCTGCAACCAATACCATCTATGCACATGTCTGTTCAACATTCCAGAGGGTAAGCAAGCAGGCACAAAATCCAGCAGAATTTCAAGTTAGTATAATTTGCTTTATGACCCCAAGCCCCCCAGTGATCAGTGACTTGCTCTTTTGTGCTCAGTGACTGATGGCCTTCTGTTCCATGAGAGATGATTATGGGTCAGTATCTAGGTCTAGTACTGAACGGGAAGATGTTGGCAGGAGGAGTGTTGGTGACTGTGTAAGTACTGTGCCCATTAGCTTAACATACAATAACTCAACTTAATTGTCATGTAAGTCCTGCCAGGTAGCTATTATAAACAGTCCTGTCCCTTAAGAGTGGAATCTGAGCCCCAAAGAGGCTGAATAATATGTTCCAGGTTACACAGTGAGGTAACAACAATCCCAAATTCCAATCTAGTTTTTGCTTTTGAGCTACAAAGCTGGGAACTCTTAACAGTTCAGCTCTTCTATCTGCCAAATGTTTAAGTAAGCAATAGCAATCTCCTCTTGATTCATCCACTTAACACATAGCCAAGTCTTGCTACTACATGTACAGGCTTGGGTTTTAAAAGTGAATAGCATTTCATGTGTTCTTAAATTGCTCCAAATTTTCTCCAGGAAGAGTACAAAACCAATCTTGTTCCACAAAGGTAGGAGGTCCAAGAAAGGATTTTGGGGAGAGAAGCTGGCTCAGTTCACCACCCTGGGACTGGTTTGAGCAGGAGCAGGGAGGAGCTCCCTAAGAAAGGTAGGACTCAGCACTGAACCACCTTGGCAGAGGGGAGGGTAATGGGGCCACCTACCTTGGGAGTTAGAAAGCAGTTATTTTTTTATTTTAAAAATGAATTTCTGAAGCCCAAGAGCAGGTCACAGTGAGAGAGGGAATTTCTGTGAGCCGAAGATATGAGGAAATTTTACCCAGCTCTTCTTCACCATGGACATCTGTCTAGAGCCCATGGGAAAGCCAGAGGCAGGGCTGGGCACAGCCTCCTTGAAGGCGCAGCACAGCTGCAGGTAAAGCATGAAGCATTATCTAAGGAACGAAAGTCACCTGTGCAAGGGTCACTCACCTTGTCACGTTGGTCCAAAATAAAGACACGGTAAGTCTATGAGAAACCAAAGCAAAACAAAATAAACAACAATAATAATAGAAGCCTCCATAATTCTATCCCTATCAGAAATGGATGAAAATAGCCCTAAGCCAGATTATTAGATGTGTCTCAGTGTGGGGATCAAAGGTAAAGGCTCACCCTAAAGCATAATGCATAGCCACGGCTGAAACCAGGCCTGCAGGTACCAGGTAAGAAGCAGCAGCAGTCTAACCTGTGTGAAGTGCGGGAGAGGGGTCCACTCAGATGGGCACACACACAGAGAAAACAAAGGGTATGGGTGGAACAGGGGCTTCAAGGAAGCCTTTAGGCAGGACCTTCCCCAACAATGGCCATGCAAGGGAAAGCTGAAGTTGATGGTGCACTGGGAAGACCAGAGAAACAGCAGAAGCTGAGCCCTTCTGTGGGCAGCTCTGCAGAGTTTTGGAGCTGAGTATGGCCTTTTGGCCACTACTGATGAGGTAAGCATTAGCTGAACTGAGGCAAGTGGCCCAGGCCTTTCATTGCTGTCTGACTAGTCAGTGGGCTGCAAGAACAAAATGTTGAGCCAAACCTTTCTTCCGTCCAGGGCAATGGCTGGGAAGGGGCTCAGCTGTGAGCCATCAGCAGCCCACGGCTCCAGCCTCTGGGGAGAAGGCCACTTCCTTCCCATGGCCAGACCTGTACAGTGCATTACAGAATCCAGTGCCCTGCACGGGAAGCTCATCATCCAGTAAGGCCTGCTGCCACTTTCTCTGCCTTTGGCCATGTGCATCGCACCCGGAAGCCCGGGCCCTGCTCTGCCTTTATTCTCCAGTAGGCTCATTATATCACACTAAAGTACAAAACAGCTACTACCTTATAGGTGTTTAGTGCCTGTAAATAAACCCCTGAACTAATGTCAATTAGATATATAAAAGATTATTTCACCTGATTGAGAAAATGGCCAGACAATTTGGCTTTCCAGTGAGCTGATTAGTTTTTGGAAAACTAACAACATCCAAATTCATCACATATTTGATGAAAGTTAGGAAAGGGCATAATTCTTCTAAAAAATGAAATAAAAAGTCAGTGTGATGCTAGAAGTGGAGATGAGAAAATTAGCAATGCCTGCCCAAGACAATAAGCTTGGGAGGGTGCCATGTTACAGTAATATATTAGTTGTAATGATTAAATGGGTGGCTGGGGTTTGCTGTAGTTGTCCTAGGGAACTCCAGAATTCACAGGGATCAGGATTTTGAGATTGGATAAGACAGAAGGTGCAGATTATCTTGCTCCACAGAATGGAAGACTAAGGTTTGGCACAGGCAGAGACTTCTGTAAGCCATATACTGATGTTTTTAACAATGACACTACAAGACTGAGATTGAGAGAACTCAGCTTCCCTAAGGTCACTCACCATTGGACGGTAGCATTGGGGCCAGCCTACCTGACCCCTTCCCAGGCTTGTGGCACCATACCACACCTGGGTGCCTTAGTACATGGCCTTGAAGGCCACATTTGAGGATTGGGCCATGACACTGGCTTGTGGACATGCTTGTGAGTCGCGCTTTGGGATTCAGGGACATAGCTGTGCATGAATTTAACCTCATGTGCAGGCCGCTGTGCAAAACTACACAGCTTAGTGGCTGTGATTAACCTTCAGTGGGAAGCGGGCCAGTGAGGGGAAGTGGAGGAGCTTGGCTCTGGCTCACAGGGGCCACAGGTACAACCTCAGCTGGAAAGAAGGTATCAGGATGGCCTAGTGGTCTAAGGTGCCAGACTCAAGCTCTGCTTCCCACGCTGGGGATTCTGGAAAGAGAAGCTTCTCATTGGCAGTGGGCACTGGTGTCTTTTGTTTGTTCATCTTTCAAGAGCCATGTGAGAGTGTGATAGTAAGATAGCAGGATGGGGGGCCAGGGGACAGCAGTTTCCCAGGCAGACAGCAGTGTAATCGAAACCTCAGTCTCAAAATTCTCTAGGTGTGCTTCAGCTACGTTATTAATCTAG